GAACTTTCGATCTGCCCAAGAAGTATTTTTTAGACACCTAAAACCAAAAGGTTTTACCAACCTTCGAAGATAGTAATAAGGAATCATTGCCAGCCCTTGAAAAGACACACAGAATTGCATTGAATTCACAGGGAAGATAGTATGGAATTACTATGTAAACAAAACCCTTCCCTAGTATTTGTATCTTTTAAAATACCACTAACAAAATAAAGAAGAATGTCACGCAGATAGAAAATTATACTATTCAGTTTACCCGAGATGTGAATTGTGCCGCAGAATTCAGAATTGCAAATGGAACAATAGATCGATACAACTAGTTACATGATGTTTGGGAACCTCCTGGAGAGCAGCCAGCCCCCTTGGAGTTCCGCCAAGCACCATGTCCCAGGGAAGCCACATAGAGGAGGGAGATCCCACCACCTGTGGCATGGGGGCCACTGGCGCATTTCCAGCCTTGTCTGAACGCTGAGGTACCAATATCTCCTTCAAACCCATTAAGAGGTCTGGGAGAAATGATGCTGGTCTGAAGTGCAGAAACAGACCTCTGTTAACACAGAAACTGCTAGGGCACTCTGCATGTATCCTGAGGCCATCCTGAGAATCCCATAGTCCTGGGCAAAGGGAGGCCATGTCAAACTTAGCTTCATTCTCTCATTCCTTCTTTTTTCTTTTTTTTCATTTCTTTGATCAGTATTTATTGAGTGGCTTTAGCTTCCTTGTGCTAATAGCATAAGACATGGCGTATGATTTCAATATTTATAAATATAAATATTTAAAATAGGCAAACTATTCTATTTTGCGTAGGGATGAATTCATAGGTGATAAAACGATATGTTAAAATAAAAGGACTATCATAAAAGTCAAGGTGATAGATACATTCATGGAAGATGAGATAAACATCATCAGAAAGGGACACACACCTGGGGGGACTGGGGGATGGCAGTCTTGGGTCAGGTGGCCCATTCTCCTGTACCGTTCTTAGACTCCCTGACCACTCTATACACAGAGAAACATGGCTGTGTAGATACGGACTGCAAACATTATGGGTACAGCAGAATAGCAGAATTTTTGCACTTGAAAATACTAGAGATTGTGCACCCTTATCACCACCCTCCTCAAGTTTAAAATAATCACCACAGCCATATTCATTGGAAACTTACACATAAAACAGCAAAAGTAAGTAGTACTAGCTCCCCTGAAAGTTAAGCCCATTTTCTCATCCTTATATACAAACAGACAACCACAGACCAGGAGGCATTGGAAGGAATCTTATGAATGCATGATGCCCACGCCACTCTGCAATTTTCTAACTAATACATATCGGTATTTCTCTGGGCTTCCTTATAGTTTTGCATGATATTTAATGTCATTTATTACTCATGTTTGATGGTTAAAAACTTTTTCTTTAACAACAGATAATCAATCCTATAGGTCAAACATTGGACTATTAAGATTTCCAAAAGAATAAAATAAAAAAATGGAGGGAGGTATGTAAAAATAAAATTTCCCAGAGCTGAAGGGATACATGTGTAATCAGACTCAAATGGCCCTAGAAAGCTGAGGAGGATCAATTAGAAAAACCCATTCTTGGACATAGCTTTGCAGAGAGAGAAATAATAGGCCACCTACAAAGAAATGGTAATTAGGTAATCTTCAGGTTTCTTAATTTTTACAATAAAGTTTATGCAATGTCTTCAATGTTCTGAGGAGAAATTATTTTGAACCTAGAATTAGCTAAACTATCAAGTGAGTTTGGAGGTATAATGAGACATTTTCAGACATTCAAGGATCAAAGTTTCTGTTTTACACACCCCTTCTAAGGAGGTTTCTTGCACAAAGTAAAAGTGAAAAGATATAATGGAACACATATTGGAAATCTTATTTTATTTTATTTTTTTAACTGTATTTTTATAGTTGATACTACTACATACACCCCCACTGCACCCCTCCACCCAGCCTCTGCCACCCCATTCCTTCGGGCCACCACTACACTCTTGTCTGTGTCTCTGTGTCATGTGTATATTTTCTTTGGTTAATCCCTTCACCTTTTTCTTTTCTTTTTTCTTTTCTCTCTCTCTTTCTTTCTTTCCTTCTTTTCTTTCTTAAAAGATTTTATTTATTTTTAGAGAAAGGGGAAGGGAAGGAGAAAGAGAGAGAAACATCAATGTGTGGTTGCCTCTTACATGCCCCCTACTGGGGACCTGGCCTGCAACCCAGGCATGTGCCCTGACTGGGAATCGAACTGGCGACCCTCTGGTTCGCAGGCCAGCACTCAGTCCACTCAGCCACACCAGCCAGAGCAACACCTTCTTTCATCCAATCTCCCCGTCTCCCCTTATCTCTGACAGCTGTCAGTCTGTTCCATGTGTCTAAGCCTCTGTTTCTATTTTGTTTGTCAGTTTATTTTGTTCACTAGATTCAACACAGAATTTTTTTAAAATCCTGGATAACAACTGTGTAGGAGGCAACTAATCTGAATTAAAATAAGAAGCTGGCGGAATCTTAGACAAATGTCTTCAAGGAGATGAGAATGAATTCTAAAATCAGATAGCAGTGAAGAAATGAGGAATTAGAAACAACAGGGGGAAAAACTCAAAAGCTGTACAAAAGAGTCAAGTCAATTATGAAGTAAGCTAAATCAGGCATAATTGTGAGAAACTGATGGACAGTAGAGAAAGAGAACCTACTTCATATAGACTTTAGGATATTCTTTGAGTGAGTAAAAGAACACTTGGCCTACAGAACATAAAATGCAATCCATGAATATAATTTTTCCCTTTAGTGTATAAAATTTATATAGACAGAAGACTCAAATATAGTTATCAATCATGATAATATAAAAGCAAAAACAACTTCCAGAAGGTAGTAGGGAGAAATAGAAGTGTTGGGCAGGTTAGGAGTCTTGATATCCTTACAAGTCAAGAGATATTATGGAGTTGACAAAACACAAAATGTAGTTTTAAGTATATTAATTAAGGTTATAAATAAAATGAAATAAATATATTAAAGTAAATGGGTTGCCAGGGACAGAGATGAGGGATGGAACTGCCTGCAAAGGGAACTTTATGGTGGTTGTTACGAGACTGTTATGGTTTGTAAAAGTTCACAGAAATATACCCCCCAAAGGAGTAAATTTCACTGCATGTGAATTATAACTAAATAAGCCCAGGAAGTGGTAGAGGAGATGTAAGAACCAAATCCTCATCGATCATACTGGGGACTCAAAAGTAATGTGTGTGGCTGATAAATCAACAAGTAACAACGTAAGAATAGAACTAGCAAGAAAAATTACACAAGATACAGCTAAGCATAGCCTGCTATTTAGCTTTGTAATCTTATAATCTGTATGTTTTACTTATTTACTGGTGTCAGCGTTTGTTTAGAATTCTGAAATATTTGTAAAATATGGAAAAGTTCCCAGAGTAGCGCAAAGAACCTCTATACATCTTTGGCCCAATAATCGTCACGGCAAAAGATCCACCACAGGCTAACGTGTTGCCCTACCCGTCATGTCCCTCTGGGCCTCCTCACCCTGAGATAGTTCTTTAGTCTTTTCTTGATTTTCATGACCTTGATATTTTTGAAGGTTACAGTTGGTCATTTTGTTTTATTCTTCAGTGTGGGTTAGTCTGATGTTTCCTCATAATTAATTAGACCCAAGTTAGGTATTTGGTTTCTAATATCAGTAGAGAGATGCTGTGTTCTCATTGCATTCTAGCAGGTGGTCTAAGAAGTTAATCTCCTCTACTACTACAGGTATTAACTAAGATAACATCTACCAGCTTTCTTCAGTGTAAAGTAAATTTTCTTATCTTTATAATTAATAAGTATTTTGAAGGAGAATATTTTGAGACTATGTAAAATCCTATTCTACACCCTACTTTCACCCATTAGTTTTAAGATCCATTGATGCTTTTTGCCTGAATTGGTTATTACTGTGGTTGCCAAATGGTAAGTTTTATTGAGTAGATTCACAGAGTCCTATTTATTCAATGGATTAAAATCTATTTGTGTCATTATTTACTTTAATTCTCAACTCATTCCAAATTTGGTCAATGTGAGTCCCTTTGCTGAGTTCTTTGTCATTCTGACATATCTCTGTCATTCTTTGAGTGTTTTCTTGCTACCCAGCACAAGTGGATGTTCCAGGTTCACCTTGTTCTTTGTCTGCTTCAGTCCTAGAATCAGTCAATTCTCCATGTTCCTTTTAGAGGAGAGTGGGATTTAGAAATCAAGCTTTGGGTTCCAGGTGTGCCCATTGCTATTAGGGTCTCAGAGCTTCCAGGACCTCTCAATGGATGTGGCTAGGAAATATGTGTATGTATGGACATACCACATTCACATACACATATATTTCTATATGTCTGCACATTAACAACTGTCATACATAATGATAACTCCAATTCCATTCCAATACCAAAGGGCTCATCTTAGTCCTTCTCCTTTCCATATTTTTATTTCCCTCCTCCAAGAATAAAGAATACTGTCTTTTGGTATCCTCGATATATTTATCTTTTTGTTTAATTCTTCTCTATATACACAATTTCCTGAAGCCATCTGGTTGCCCCCCTACTTGTAGACCCTCTTTGTGGCTCTGGCCACTGTCAGGCTACCCTCCCATTCCACCCGGCATACATTATTTTATAAAAACTTAAAGAGGAAAAAATAAGTAGCCAAATACTACAAAAATATAAATTGTGAGACTCTGTCTCAAGGAATGTTCTCACAGCTCTAAAAATCAAAAGGAAACCCAAATCGATGGTTTCCCATCCCCACCCCCCACCACACTACAACTGTAGTATACTTCAAAGTTTGATCTACTCTAGAAAGAAGTGACTAAATGCGTAGCTTAAGTCCATTATTCCTCTATTGATATCATGCACTGCTCACAGCCAAATCATGCTCACACGCACTCACACACACACACACACTCTCTCAGGCATCCCACTTTATGTTCTGGGAGCTTTGTAACCTGCCTTTACCACAGAGGAAGTCTTTACCTGAAATGTCACAGTAAACAGTCATTTGGTAGAGCTTGGCTTCCAGAGGGTTAAAGTACACAGTGATTTCGGCTGATGAGTTGGGCCAGACATCACCTTCCTGAAAAACAGGAATCATTAAAAAACAATACGATGAAGGGAAGGTACTGCTTTTAAATGTTACTATTAGTTAAAACTCCAGGAAACTGGAAGGAAAAATTTTTACAATAGATAAAAGACAGCACGATTTTATTCAACAGACAGTTAACTTATGCCACTGGTTAAGAGGTGGTACCAGCTGGAAACAAGCTTCAAAAATAATTTCGGTGAGTTCCTGAACATATAGGTTTATATAACTAATAGTTATATTACTTTATAATGAGGATATTTAAGGAATTTTAAAAATGTGTGTATTCAATGAACATTCATTGTATGCCAGTGTGTGCCTGGCACTGCGCTTCAGAGATGAAGAACGGTGTAGTCCAAGACTTCACGGAGCTCATATGTAAGATGGATGATAAATATGTATACAAATATTTTATAACATACATGCTAAGTACTGTGTCTATATAAATAAGGTCCAGATGGGCCACAGAGATAGAAGTGCCTAATTCACTTGATGGAGGAACCAAATTCCTAACTTCTGCGATGACCGCATAAAGAAATACTCTTATTCTATGAAAACATAGCAATGGCCCAAGGAAGAACAAGGGCCAGATCAAACCGCAGTTCTGATCCAGTGTGATATTTCTCATTTTAATTGAAACCACTCAAAGTCATAGTTAGGAAACCAAGTTTTAAAACTTTTGTGATACACATGCCATACATCAGAATTCCCTTGAAAAATACTTTGTACTAAACATGTAGCCTGGGGCTTCTTCATTAACTTCTCAGGGCTATAAAAGTGCTAACATCATTTGCCTCAAATTGTTACCTAAGGTCTGACAAGGTCATACAGGTCAAATGCTTTGTCCCATGCTTAGTACATAGTAAGAGCTCAATAAATAGCTGTTTAGTATGATTGATGTTATTTTTACACCACTTGGGAAGACTAAGGTGAAAGTACTGGAAAAATCAGAGAGAAAAGTGTGCATTTTTCCTATGGTTTTTGTAAATAGAGCCAAGTAGGTCATACGTGATAAACACATCCAAAAATCTATTTAGGTGGTGGAGCCTAAAAAGGAAAGGAAAACTAAGGAAAGGCAACATAATAAATAATTAGGCTTCAGTTTCAGATAGTCCCCAATGCATATTCCATTTCCAGTCTGGCTACATGTGAACACAGTGCTAGAATAAAGAATCAAGCAGAGAACAAAATGGTCTAAAGTGCTGGCATCCAGTGGGGTGGGGGCAAGGATGGAAAACTAGAGCCAGTTTAGCTTATTTATGAAGGAAACAGTCTGATCAATGTGTTTCTCAGGCAGCATCTCCCAGACTTCAGAGTTATAAAAGGCCACAGGGCTTCCAAGAAGTAGAAGTGAGGGGCTGTGAGTGTCATGGGGGTCCTGGGAGCTCTTATCTCCCAGATCAGGTCATTACTGGGTTGGTCAAAAAGTCCATATGGTTTTCTCTGTAAAATAAAAGACATTTTCCATTTTCACCAATAACTTTATTAATTTGGATATTTTGAATATTATGGCTATCTCTGCTTGGTAAAATGTTGATTGTTCTCAATGTCTCGATTTGATCGCTATCAATTTCAACTGGTCTATCTGACCATGGAGCAAGAAATCCAGCAAGAAATCTCCGGCACAAAATTTCACAGACCACTTTGGACATGTTCAGTCAGTCACAGCACCTTCACCATACACTGCCTAAATCTTTTTTTTGCATTTCAGTTGCATCTTTATCTTTCTTGAAATAATAAAGCATTATATGCCAAAAACATTGCTTATTTTCTTCCACCTTCAATATTAAAATGGCTACATAAAAATTCACCAATTTTGATCAGCTTTTTTTAAATGCATGCTGATATGACAGCTGTCACAATACAAACTAACAAAATTGTTTCAAATGAAGTTAAAGACAACTAAGAGCTACTAGATCCATCTTCTGGAAAAAAACAAATGAACTTTTTGGCCAATCCAAAAGAATGAACACTCCATACGTGTAGGCCCTGTTCTATCCCCAAGACCTAAACTACAGGTGACTCCCACAAGTGCTCAATGTATTTACTGAATCAGCTATACCCATTCACTTTGCACATTGTGTAGTTACTAGCAAGTGCTTAGTCATCTTTGCAGCCTATTTCTGCCATTTTCTCTGCAACTGAAACCACGACACTCATACAGTTTAAAGCTGGCAGGGACCTTTAAGATCATACAGGGAACAGGGAATCTCTCAGCACTTTCACTTATTTGAGAATTTCGCTGTGGCACTTTTCCAAACCTTGAAAAGTATCTGTCCCCTTCTGATAAATCACAAATACCTGGCCCTTTTGACTATTGTGGGTCTCAGTGATACGGAGGGTTAGGAACACTCATGACTAGAATGCGCAGAGAGGCCAGACAGAAGAGGTGGTTCATCCATTCATTAGTGTATTCGTGGCCATTCCATCTCAGGACACTTGAAGACCTGGTTTTCCTTACAACACATGAGACAAATGTATTGCCTGGTGGGTTTAAACTATATTCTGTTTGGGAATATAGATTGGATGCAGCTAACCTGTTCCTATCCAAACTAACTGAGCAAAGGGTCCATCTTGGACTCCTAAAAAACTGCTAGAAAAGTCTCACCAGAATGGTAGGAAATGCCCCCCAAAATGATATCCTGTTAGTTAGATAAGCTTAGCACATGCAGGCAAACTCAAGGGCTTTCTGATTTCGGGTGGGCCAAATCACTTTCAAAAGCATTATCCCAGCAAGAGAATCCAGGGTCCATGCGAAGACAAGAGGACAATACACTTAAGTTCTCTCGGAGAAGCACTCTTGGACCCCTCATTATCCAAGAAATCTGATGATCAGAACTGGTGGACTGGAAAAAGGCAGGATAAACACGCTCCAGAGAGGCAATCAGAATCTCCGCAGAGGAGGAAGTCTTGACATCTGGATGTGATCCATGGAAGGATCATCCGCTGTGGGGGCTCCCTGGAGGCTGGGAAGCCCTTCTGCTTGGTGAGGTGCTACCAGTGCAAGGAGATCTGAGTCCACAGGGCTCAGACTGAGCAAAAGGCACTGGAGACTCAGTGTTTTCTTATCCTGTGTTGCAGCTGTTTTGTGCTTGTGACATTTGCTGGTAACTTTCAGTTTTACTCAGCCTGGGGACATAATTCAAGGGCAATCTTATTCTAAAAGCCTCTCTTGGGCATGTATCAGGTAATGCGCATTAAGAGGGCTGTGTATATCTGTAAAAACAGAAGTGTGGCCATTCAGTTTCCTCTTGCAGAGGGATGCTTTCAATATTATGTCATTTGATGGAGTTAGAAACATGTACAAGGACACTTATTTTTTAGTTGGGATTAAAATAAAAATTAAATTATGTCTATTTCTTTATAGCAAAAACTGAATATAGCATTTTGTAGCAAATCAGAGGGAGCAAACCCCAGAAACAGGCAATCAGCCTAAAATGACCCCACTTTCACTTTTATATCTTTGAAAATTTTCATATTATTTCGCCAACCTTTCTGAAGTTAACTTCCATGTCTTTTACATCTATGGAAAGAATTTTTCTTTCTTTATTGCTTATTTCTAAAGTTTTCTTCTGAAAACCAAGACATTCAGAATTTTCCCTCCTGGCTCTGACATTGATATCCTTTCTTTCTGGTCTACAAGCCTCATCCCACAGAACCCCTGCTATTCTACTTTCTTTCTACACATGACCCCTCTCCCATCACTGTTCATTTCCTGGCTCCAAATGAGAGATGGAGTATACAGGATACACTCAGTGACTATTGTCTTGTTTATTGAAAACAATGGTCAAAATGGCCTCCAATTATATTGCAATTACCTTCCTTCTTGGTCTTAATGTTCTGTATTTCCCTCAGATTCATAACTGCATTTCACATATTAATCAAGTGACCTGCTAGAAGAAACCAACTTTAAATTTTCAGATCTAACACTCCCATTTTGCAGTTTGGGGCCAAATATTAAATATCTCTGGAAATGGAACTCCATGTTTCCTATGGAATAAGAACAAACAAGTGATCTGACAGACACAGCTCCAAGACTTTCTGAAAGCTGTTTAGGAACATAACTGCCACTGGTTCATGACAGATGATTAATGCAATCCTAAATAGAGCATCCTTTAAAAATGTTCTTCTTAAAAAAATTGTATTGACAATCACTAAAGGGGCTCTTTAAAAAATTTCCCTTTGAAAACCCTTAAATAAAAAACAAAATATTTTTAAAAATCACCTTCCTTCCCCTTTCTCTATTACCAATCCCCTCCCTCCCTCCCTCCCTCCCTCCCTTCCTTCCTTCCTTCCTTTTTCCTTTCCTTTCAATGAAGGGTTATTTCTTGCAAATTTTGCAAAATAAAAACTCAAACTGTAAGAACAGAGAATTAAATATGTTTAAGTTACCTGGTTTATCTGGAAAGCAATTTACTATATGACTTGATACCTACATTTTTCATACAAAATAGCTATTTTAATTTTCAACTCACAATTAGAAGAGTGATCCAAATGTTTGCCTACTCAAATGTTATACTTTCCAATCATCTCTAACCTGACAAGAGACTGAATCATACCTAAATGCAAATCATAACATTTGCAGCCATTAACTGAGACCTCATGTTCCCAGTACTATGTTAAGTTCTATCAACATTATTTACAACCTTGTAAAGTAGTATTATCCCCTTTTAAAAGACAAGAAAACCAAGGCAAAAAGAAGTTCTTACGTATCTTCTCCCTGAAGGCCACACCAATAGTAAGTGGCGGAGCTTGGTTTCTATAATATATTTTTTATTTAATATCTTCAACCCTACTGCAATTATTGCAAAAGGTCAGGCCTCACCTTTCTCCCATCATAATAAAAAGCCAGAAGAAATCTTAAAACACAAAAATTGATAATCAGACACAGATGAAGCCAGCATGACCTGGTGTTCCTGTCTGGCAAACAAAACAAGATACCCCTGCATACTCATGTGTTTAGGTATCTTGGAAGGTGACTCACAGGAGGTCCT